CCAGGTTCAAACTGCCACTCTTGGTGTATGTGGCTAGCACCATAACCACTGTGCTATAGGCGCCGAGCCTACCATAATAATTTAAGTATTAGTTTTTGATTTTCAGGTTGTCTTTAACAACTCACTTGGCCAATAGAATCAATAATTTTCACAGTAAGATTCTATTTACTTACTCATTTTATATAAAAGTATTTCTGTATAAACATTTTTCTGGAGTAAAAATACTATGAACGTTTTTCGCACAGTACTTTATTAATGAAGTTTGAATCTTTGTCTTTTGCAGACAGGAACCCAGAGAACCATACAGGGAAGCATTTGTATCTCAAGATCTGTAAGAAGAGGCATCAGTACTTAAGATGGAATCAAAACCTTGTGAAGCACATGAAGACCTTTTACCAGGCAGTGGCGTCGCACCCAGCGGAGGTACGTGCCCTCTACAAGACAAAATGAGAAAAAAATTAGGATTTAGCAACTTTATAATATTCATTTTAGCATCTCTTTTTAAGTATGTTTGTTTTCAATTGTGTGGGATATATGCTTTGGTCATCAATGTCTACCATATTGTTTATAATTTTTTACTTTCTGTGGAAAAAGTTGCTCCATTTTTTTAAACTAGCATTATCTGTTTTTAGCAGCTGTTACATTACCTTTGTGGTATAAGGAGTTTCTGTGCTGAGGCTCTCCCTAGCACAGGTCAGGATTCTGGGTCACTTTTACTTCTTTTCCTCACCTGTCCCCACAGCCAGCCGGGACCAAACCCTGCTCTTTCTACCCTCAGAAATGCCTCTCAAATCCATTCCCCCCTCCATTCTCAGTACTTATGTTCTGGTTGAGGCCCTATCACTTCTAAGCCAAATCATTTTAGTCAACAGGCAGGAAAACACACAAAGCTGGGATAAACGGGTGGAATTTAACGCAGGGGATTGGCTCGCTGACCTCCCAGCTAGCAACAAGCCAGAGGTCAGCTTGCAGGTTAGCACTGCTGCCACCGTGGGGCTAGAAGGACAACCAGGCCTAGACCTGCCCAGGGACTGCCAGGCTGGCAAGACCATGGTTTCTCTCCTCCTCTGCCTCTGCTCTTCCTCCAGCACATCCCCCTACAAACCTGCTGGGAAGCGAATTGGGAAGGGATCTGGGAAAGTAGTTGTTCCCAGCACTCGACAGAGAAGGGTACTGGCAGAGAAAGGATTCAGGAACAATCAGGCAGTGAGCCGCCGTCCCTGACCGTGTTCCCTGTCTTGGCTCTCTCATCTAACTCATTCTTTTCTTTCTTTCTTCTTCTTTTTAATAGTCTATCACAGGAGCCACATCCATGTATGTTTTTTCCAACAGAAATTCAGGTTTGGGATAGGATCATCACAGATACAACTCACCCAGTGCACCTAGAGTTTATTCTCCCTTGTGGGTCTGCTGTTTCACTGGTGTGCTTAAAAACCTTTATTTTAGCACCCTCACTGCATACAAGTTCTGCTTCTCAGGATGCTCATATGACCCTAAAGTGCTATTGCCACCTCTACCCTACTCGCTCACCTCCCACAAAGCTACTCCTTCTACTCATTCAGGGTGCTCAGTTCATGGCCCCTCCCTTCTCAGGCCACCATCATCCGGCAACATGGTCCTCATGGAGCACCCAGCTGAGATCAGACACTCACAGCTTCTTGACCTCTTAAATTCTAATCATCTTGCCCTATACTCCAGCTGCTCACTCTTTTATCTTAGATCTTATTATCAAACACTGTTGGACTTGTGGCTGCCCCTGGTGGCTCCTGTCTGTTCTCCTATCCTAGCACTTCCAAAGGCCAAGTTTGAGGCCAGGAGTTTGAGAGTAGCCTGAGCAAGAGGGAGACCACATCTCTACAAAAAAAAGGAAAAAGAAAAAAAATTAGCCAGCGAGGGTGGTGCGCATCTGTAGTCCCAGCTACCTGGAAAGCTGAGGCAAGAGGATCCCCTTGAGCCCAGGGGCTTGAGGTTACAGTGAGCAAAGGTAATGCTACAGCAGTCTAGCCTGGAAGACAGAGGGAGACCCTGTCTCCCCAAAAAATAACTGTTGGACTTTTGAAATCCAACCTCCTAGCCTCCAATTTGCTCACTCTCTCGTTCCTAGAAAGCACCTGTTTTTTCTTCCTCAGGAAGGTCACGATTCCCAAGTATGTTCCGATGTCAGAAACACTTTTTGAGATTTTAAACATTTAAATGGCTCAGATGCACACCTGCAGATTCTGATGGACGAGTCCGGGGCGGGACTCAGGCACTGCTGGCTCCCGCTCTGCCGGGGATCCTGATTTACAACACTGGTTGACTTTTCCAGATTCTGTCATCTCCCCCTAATTTACCAACTTCTTTCCGTCTGCACTTTATTTCGTATCACTTACTAATAGTACTTTGGCCAATCACTTGTCAATGTTGTCAACTTCTTTTCCTTTCATTCTTCCGTTACACTTTTAAAGGAAAACCTAAATCCTTATCAGGCTGACTGCCATCTCCATTTTTATACCGGGCTGCTACAAGATTTTGCTAGAGAAAATATGCAAATGTGGATTTTCCACCAATTTGCTACTTCAAAGTTATAGTATCTTATGTCAGCTGGACACGGCTGAGAAATCTTAACTCATGTTTTTCAATTTTCCATAACACTTATTCTAAAGTAGTCCCATCCTCAATTCCCTACCTCCACCACCTTCTTTCTCAAACTTGGTGAACATCATTTCCTAAGGGCCACATGCAGGGGTGTCCAACCTTTTTTTTTCCTCTGCCACATTGGAAGAAGACGACCTGCCTTGGGCCACTCATTAAATACACAAACACTAAGGAAAGCTATAGGAAAAAAAAGGTCTGGGCATAGTTTTTATGACAGCTGACACCACAGATAAGCAGAAATGTCCTCAGAAAATCAGCATGCAGGCCAGCAGGTCAGGCACCCCACCTAGAAGTCCGGCTCTTATGCTGTCCTCTCCTCCCCTGTGTCCTGCCCCTCAGACTCACTGCCTTTTGCCATCAGTGCCGCCTTCCCTGATGGCTCCATGGAGAAGGCCCCTCTTCCTGCCCTCCCGAGCTTCATTCCCACCCCGGCTGTCACCACCTCTGCATCCAGAGACCTGGCTCCAGCAGTGGCCCCACTCAGGCTCACTTCTGTCAGTAAAGCAGGCCACGTCTCTCCCAACCTAAAACACTCACAATCTGTGCAACACACAGAGCAGAAGAAGAACAAAGCCTTTCCTCAGCCCTTGCCTCCATCGTCCAGCCTCAGAGCTGTGCCTTCTGAGACAAGAGTCTGTATTCACTGCCCTCGTGTCTCGACTGCCCACTCACTCCATAAGTGGCCGCCTTGTGGCTTTTGAGCCTATATTCCATTCCAGTTAAATCACTTTCTCCTCTTTATTAAATACTATGATGCCCCTGTCCCCAGATTTTCATTTTGAAAATTTTCACAGTTGTAGAAAAACTGAAAGCACAGTACAGTGAGCACTGTGGCTCCTCAGCTGGATCACCAGCTGTCAACATTTTAGCCCATTTTGCTTCATCTATCTGTCCCTACGACATACATTTAATCTTGAACTATTTGAAGATAGGTTGCAGGCGTCCTGCCTCTTGCCTCAAAACCGGAATGTGCATCTCCTGAGAACAGGACGATATTTTACATAATCACACATCTCTGCAACCACCACTGTCAGTGCAGGTTCATCTGTCATGTTCATATTTAAATGTCTTCAGTCGTCTTCCAAAAAGTCGTAAGCATTTGCTTTTTTGTTTGGGTTTTTTTTTGCAGTTTTTGGCCAGGGCTGGGTTTGAACCCGCCACCTCTGGCATATGGGGCTGGCGCCCTACTCCTTTAAGCCACAGGTGCCCCCCTTGGTTTTTTTTTTTTTTTTTTTGAGACAGAGCCTCAAGCTATCCCCCTGGGTAGAGTGCTGTGAGGCCACAGCAACCTCCAACTCCTAGGCTCAAGCGAGTCTCCTGCCTCAGCCTCCCAAACAGCTGGGACCACAGGCACCGGCCACAACGCCTGGCCATTTTTTTGGTTGCAGCCATCATTGTTGTTTGGCGGGCCTGGGCTGGGGATTCGAACCCGCCACCTTAGGTGCATGTGGCTGGCGCCCCAGCTGCTTGAGCCACAGGCGCCGAGCCCCCTTGGTTTTTTTTAAATCTGGGATCCAGTGAAAGACCATGAATTGCGTTTTGTTGTCTGCTCACCAAATGTATAGCCATTCTCTCTCTCTCAGCATTGGCTTTATTTTAAGAGTTGAGACCAGTTGTATTATAATTTTATGTCCCTCATACTAGTATTTCTCATGTTTGGATTCTTATTAAACTCATCTGACATGAGTTGTACACAAACGACGTGTACTTTTTACAGAAGACCTCAGGGACGACATGATGCCACAGTCCCACTGACTGACAGTGACATTTCCCCTTTATAATTGATAAGCAGTCTGTGGGTGCCCTTTGAAACCTTGCATCCTGGTACAGAATAACCCCTCACCCAGTGATTTTGACATCAACTGAAGAGCCTGGCCTTAATTATTATATGATGATTTTCTAATTTTACTATAGTTATCTGGCATTCTACAAGAAAAAAAGCTTTCCTGTTTATCTATTATCATTACAGATACATAGCTTCGTTGTCATTTAAACTGCTCAGAGCATTGCTATCTTTGTTGTTTCTGATGCTCGGTATCAAGTGACTCACCTGGTTAGCAGGCTACTGTGTCCTTTTAAGTATGTGACTGTTGTTTTTCGGACATCAAATACTGCAGACTTATCTTGTATTTTGCCTGTTCCCTTAGACCTGGAATCCCCTATTTTACGTGGGGAACCAAGTCTGGTGTGCACCTTGCTCCTGAGGCGCCCTGGCGTCTAAACCATAAGCTATGAGCACTGAGCTCAAATTCAGGTTCAGTGCTATGAAGTTCTTCCCTGCCTGACCCATCCCATACTGTATCTCCCTCCCTGCAGTGAAAACCCTGATTTCCAGAACATCAATATATTTGTTTTCTGTTTTCTTATAATACATATGAAATGTTTCAGAATGATAATATTACCACCATTGACAACTTACCTACTAAGTAAAGTTTTCTAAGGCAGGCTGTACAGTTAGGGCTTCTGTGTGTTAAAGTTATTGGAAGGAGTGATTTCCTGGGAGGTTATATTATCAATTTACTTATTCACCTAGGTGTAATTGTTTCTATTAGTATTTAATTTAATTTCTATTTGCATATGTGTTACATGTGTATGGCTCAGAGAAGTAAAAGCTTTCTAGAGGCTTGCTCGGTACTGTCTTCTCCTGTCTCTGTCCTTTCCACACCCTGCCCCCAATAACTGTACCCTGGTACATAACTGTTCTCATGAGTTTCTGTTTATTCTTCCAGAGGCTCTTTTTGCAGAATTAAGCAAATGTTACACAGACACACACACACTGCATGTGCACATATACTCTGATGTCCCCTTCCTTATAAAGAAGAGGAAGATTAACCTCTACTCTTCAAGGGAAGAATATCAAAGAATTTTTGGACATACCTTAAAACCACCACAGTTTGCCCTCTGGTCACAAATATTTACATTTGTCTCATATGCAAAATACATTCAACTCATTCCCTCCCAAGAAGGCCCCTTATAGTCTTACCTTACTTTAGAATCAGCTAAAGGCCGAAGCTGCTTCTTCTAAATTAGATTTAAGTATATATGAAGTTCCCCAGCTGTAATTCTTCAGCACAGCTCCTCAAGTGGAGTCCCTCTAAATCTGAAGAGCTGGCGTACCTAACATACAATGGCAGGACAGGTGTAGGACATTGCTGGTGGAAGCCGGAACACATGGGTCCATGGTAATTCTGAGATCTAACTGGGCACAGGTTGACCATTGCTTGGCGGGGACTCAAAGCTTGGGACTAATTCTCCATGGAGCTTGAGTCTGTCCTCAGGAGTCTTGAGTTTGACTTCAAATCATTCTTCCTTTTGGATGAAAGGTGGCATGTTTCTGGCTCAGCCTGCTTGAAATTTGGTCTTCTCCCCTTCCCCTCCCCTCCCCTCCCCTCCCCTCCTCTCCCCTCCTCTCCCCTCCCTACTCCACCCCTTCATCTTACACTATCTCCGTCCTTCAATCTAAGTCACCACTATTCTTAAACATAATTTTCAAAAATCTTTGTGGATCCCCTGTGAATCTTAACTAAGTTTCACTTCCTTTTAATTTAATTTAATTTTTTTTAGATAGAATCTCATTCTGTTGAGCAGGCTAGAGTGCCACAGCATCAGCCTAGCTCATGCAACCTCCAACTTCTGGGTTCCAGTGATCCTCCTGCCTTAGCCTCACAACTAGCTGGGACTAAAACGCCCTCCACAATACCTGGTTAATTTTTTTATTTTTAGTAGATATGGGGTCTCACTTTTGCTTAGGCTGGTCTTGAACTCCTGAGCTCAAGCGATCCTCTCCTGTCTGGGCCTCCCAGAGTGCTGGGATTACAGTTATGAGCCCCTGCACCTGACTTTGTCTTCCTTTTTATTTTAATTAATTAATT